TTTGGCAAATTTAGGGTAACAGATCGGTGAAGTTGAAGCAGTGCAAGCTTGATGTTCGTAGGGATCAGTGGCTTTATCAAGGTTTGTGAATTATTCATGGTTCTCTTCATCTGTATTCAATCAACTTCCTGTAATCTTATGCATTTTGATTATCACAAATGGTTGTGTGAGGCTGCCTACCTATTATTAGTTTTGTAGACCCGTTGTACCTTTATCACAAAGATGTCATTTTGTTCATCTTACTTTCGAAGAGTATCGTATTTCAGTTTGAAAGTATGCATCTATATTGAAATTGTTGAAAAACTTTTCGAGTATACATGTTACTTTAGGTTTTTCTTGTTCGTTAGTTTTCTTTCCTTTATCAATTACTTGCTAGCACTTGTTGATTGCCTTTCAATGCTTCCAGTGAACAATAAGGATGGATGCAAGGAGGATCATAATAGTGGCTGTGTATCGAAACCGGTGGTAAAGCCAACCGAAGAGGATGTTTTTAGTGATTCCAATTCATGGCTTTCGAAGAGCCCAATCAGCCCAGTGAGCAGCTTATTGGGAATAAATGATTCGGGCGTTAATATTACTGCAAGTAGCAGAAGTAGTATCGGTAGTTGCAGCATGAATGAAGAAGAAAATGACTATGATGATGAAAATGAAGATGATGGTGATTGTTTCGACGATTGGGAGTCTATGGCCGATGCTTTAGCTGCCGAAGAAAACAATCTGCAGAGAAATAGGCCAAACGAGCCGTTATATTCGGAGAGTGTATTGGCCCGAGATGGATTGATGGATGAGGGATCGGACCCAATATCTTGCCCGATTTGCGCTGAGGATTTAGATTCTACAGATTCGAGATTTTTCCCATGCTTGTGTGGATTTAGGCTGTGCCTTTTCTGTCACAAGAGGATTCTTGAAGGAGACGGGCGTTGTCCGGGCTGTAGAAAGGATTACGATTGTGGCCCGGTTGAAGGAGAAGCTATAGTGAATGAAGGAAGCTGGACATTCAAACTGGCCCGTTCTCGTTCGTGTAGCACGATGAAAAGGTCTTAGAAGTAGCAGTTTAAAGGTATATATATGGTAGAGATTTGTACAGTGGGGTTTAAAGTTTGTTATCATATGGGATTTGGGATTTAATGAGGCTATATATGCATATAATGGAATACCATAACCCTTTCTTGACTTGTTCTTGGATGAGTTCACAGCAGTGCTGCAAACGAACCGAGCGGCTTGAGTCAAAGCTCGACTCGAGCTCGAGCTTGACTGAACTCGAGTCCATATTTTTCATTGTCGAGATGCTCGAGATATATGTAGAATTTCCAAAATATCTCTTATATATATTACAAAAGTATAGCACAAATGCTTAATGGTAATTTTATTTTTCCACCTAAAAACTTTTTGAGCCGAACTCGAGCATTTTGATTTCAAGTCGAGCTTGAGCGATTGTACTTTTTTCTCGAGTCGAGCTCGGGTCTCATAAATCGAGCATGCTCGACTCGGCACATTTGCAGTCCTATATATATCTTGTATGGAAATTTTGCCAAATTGTTTCTGCAATTATGTTACTTTTGTAAAGTCACTATCCAAAATTGCATTAAAAAGTTGAAACCACATTCCACAACCACAAGATGATTGAAGGTAAAACTACAAACAGAACAATTTGCTTCAGAGCAATGTAAAAACAGAGAGAGAGAGAGAGAGAGAGAGAGAGAGAGAGAGAGAGAGAGAGAGAGAGAGAGAGAGAGAGACTTAGGTTGTGCTTATAAACCCTGCAACACAAGACTCTAACCTATGCTCAAAAGGCAAAGTCCTCCACCACTTTGTAAAAGTGGACTCATCCAAGAAAACATCTTTCCCAAGCCATCCATTGTTAACCCAACTCACCATTTTTCCCTCTAACCTCAAGATCTCATCCTTCACAAGCCCATATGGCTTAACCCTCAACTCCTCGACCTCGGCCCAAAACGTCGTCTCCGAGCCCAACCCAATCTCCATCCTCTCCGCATGCTCCCGCCATCTTTGCGTGAACCTATACCGTTTGGGCCTACCTTTCACCATATACGGGCCCGTGTCTTCATTCTTCAAGTGCCTGTAGTAATTTGCTATGTCCAAGGGCTCGAGAAGCCTCCGGAACATAGTCCCTAGTTCGATCCACTCTTTCCGGGCCTCAAATTTGTCAGGAAGCTCGTACCTCTTGATCATTTCCATTATCTCGTCCCATATTCCTGTGAGCTCGAGCCTCTTGACGTTCGCGTCGAAATCGACCGTATCCTTTTGGATCTTGAAGGCATCGTAATAGCCTATCTTCCGAATTTCGCAGCTCGTTTTGTATTCTTGAATTCTAGTTAGGGCTTCCTTGATGGTGTCCTTATTCGAGTCGATTTTTTTCTGGTTTTCTTTTTTTTGCTTCTCAAGTTCGCCGGCTGCTCGGAGGCATAATCTTGCTCTTGTGGTCTATAGAATAATCATATGCAGCATTATAGTTCAAA